AATGTGCAAAACTTCAGATGGTGTTCTGAAACTAATGGTTATATAGGAACCTCAGTGTATACCAGGGGACTGAGGATGAAAAAATATTTATATCTTTATTTCTATCTCTAATTTATATCTGTGTTTCTATTAATATCTTCTCCATATAAAAATCTCCAAACTCTCTCCTTTGCTACTCAAGAATATTTATAACACCATCAACACAAAGTTTTATAGATACCCAGAATTTTTAATTAAAATTTTATAATTTCAGAATTATTTTAAACTATTTTGACTCTCCATTAGCAGAGTTACAGGGAGATATACTGACACCTATATCTTTCAACAGTGCCTCTCCTTCTTCACCCTAAATGTTGTCACAGCTTGCAAGTTCTTTCCCTTCCCAGTGTGTAATTGCAGAGACTATTGTCACACCTCTGGAGACTTTAATCCCTCTTCCTGGAAATCACTTATAACTGTTACATAAATACTCAGAACTCTGTTCAATTACTTTCTTGCCCTTCCCATGACACAGATCTATCTACTGGTAACTTCTGTTTGAGTACACACCCTCCTTATCTTGAAAGAATCAGGCACAGTCTGTCTGAAAACAAACTTGATTATAAGGCAGTGAGAAGAGATGGCAGCAAGTCAAAGAACATTAAGGCTGTCATTTGCCAAAGGAATTTTCTTAGAGCTTGTGGACACTGAGTTATTGACACAGAGTTTGTGGTTTTGGGCTTTTTTTGGGTGGGTGGATTTTTGCAGTGCTGTTTTTGTAATAGTACTGTGATGGTGAAGTTTTTCTAGATGGTGTCATTATAGTTTGGTCTGCAGCTCTTCCTAGAGGTTGCTTTTGGGACCTGAGTGTGACAGACATGTCAGTGAGAGAATTAATTAAAAAAAAAACTCTTTAGGTATTGGACATGAGCTGATCTGAGCTAGACATCAAGAAATCTCTTTGGCTATAGTTGAGAGGAAATAATCACCAAATGTTGACTCAGCTGACTTAATTTAGGTAGCTAACTCTTCTAGAAGGTTTTTATATTAAAGTGCCTATTTCCCTCCAATAATTATAAAAGAAATCTAGGCATCTAGTTCAGATAAATAACTATTAAAATTCTATCTTTTTTTGAGCATAGACCTACATAGTAATCCTCAAGCAATCATTCAGAAAGGACTAAAACCAGCAGTACATAAGAGATTATATAGACTTTGGGTGAGACCATTCTCAGCTGTAAGATTAGCCACAGACACAGGAAAGATCACTCTTTAGTAAGCACAGCAATTATTGTCATCCTGATGTAAAGGGAATGAGAAGAATCTTTGTAAAGGTGCATAAAAGGAAGCAAAATTTTCCAAAAAATGAGCAGGCAAAATGGCCTCTCATGGAGACTAGGAAAATTAAATGTTTATTTTTCTTCTTCTTTTGCATTTCTGAGAGGCTTTGTAGTACTTAACTCCCTCACTTTCCTAACCAATAACATTTGCATATGGTTTTTGTGCAGTTCTCAATTTACACTAAAAGCTGGTGGTGGACCCTTAGGTGTATTTAAAGGCTGAAGGTTCAGCCAAGGCAATGGAGCCCCTTCCCAAGGCATCTGCTGATCCCTCTCCATTTCTGAAGAAGTGCTGGTGGTTAGGATCTTTGGATGTAGTCAATTGTTCATCCTCTTACTGACACCATCTGACACCAACAGCTAAAGGACTCGATGAACCTGCTGTCTACCTGTTTTGTTGTTTTTTTGTTTGTTTTTTTTTTTTAGTTTTCCTCTGTAGACCACGTTTTCAAGATCTCTAATCATTCTTCCTGATATTCGAACTGCCTTCAACCAGGCCACATGGTGTTTGTTGAGCAAAAGCATCTGAACAGGGTGAATTTGAATTAAACTCAAGCAAATAGTGGTGCAAAGGCGTGCTGCAGCACAAGAGGTAAAGATTGTGGTTGGGAACAAGACAATCATGTTAATAACTTCTTATCCCCAGACTCTGTGTGCTCTTGGGAGTTGTCAGCTGAGCCCTAAGGAATGCTGAGCCATTAGTATTTTCCATCTTTATTCAGATTAAGCCACATAAATAAAAAGTGCCAACAGATAACAGCCTTTGAAGATACTGAATCTCTAAAGTGCACCTCTTTTCATTTCTATGCTTTATTTTCACTGTAAATAATAGTGAAATTTTGGACAGGAGATAAGGCTGGGAGGTGCAGCTGAACCTGCACCTGGGAAGGGCTGCTGGTTCTGGGCATTAGGGGCTGTGGGCTCTGGTTATCCACCAGATCTTCTTGCTTTGATCAGCCTGACATCTGCAATTACTGGGCACCAGTATGTACCAAGCTAAAGAATCTCACAGCAAGCAGTCACACATTGGAAAGAATATATATGTTTTCCAAATAAACAACACCTTTTTGGATTTCCCAGCTTTCCAGCATTTCTCCAGTTTTTTTTTAGAATCCTTTATGCTCCCTGGTTTTGATCTCAGAAGACTCAGAGCCTCCCTTCAGTCCCTACCATTCCTCTCCATCACAAATTAGCTTAGAATTTCGAGAGGCACTAAAATAGGGGAGAGACAGAAAAAAGGTGGAATTTCCCAGGATTTCTGCTGTTCCCTCAGGATATAATCCATGCCTCTCCCCTTCTTTCTAGGGATGTCTGTCAGCCTCAGAGCTGGTCTCCTGACTGTGTGATCTCCATATACAATGGTAAATAAAGCAGTGCAAGAGCCTTGGGCATCACAAGAAAAAGGCATTTTAACTACAAAAGGAAAATCCTGAACAGGAGCTAAGCCAGGATATCTTGCAGCATAAGGATTAGTTACCACAGAATGTGCTATTAAAGGTAAATTATTGTTTCTATCATTATCTTAATAGCCTGGTGGTTGTGGTAAATATTTGCAGCAATCCAGGAAGGTGAGAAATTCTGTATTATTAGAAAAGAAAACATTTGCTGTTTTGGTTTTGAGGAAAGCTAACTACTTTCTTTCCTATTGAAAAATTGCATGTATTTGGGCCTTCAGTGGATGATGTATTGATGCACCTTTTTATATCTCTGCTCTCTGGCTCTGGCTGCATCAGAACTAACAGCAGCTATGTGGGTTGAGGCCAACTCTTTAAGCTGGTCCAAACCCTAAATTAAAGCAATGACCTGCTGGGGCTCCAGGCCAGCTCCTTTCACTCTTTCCCCATTCACAGCCCTTCTTTTCCTCCTCACAGGGCCGAGCAGAGAGCCACAATGTCAGAGCAAAGTCCCTTGTGGCAGATTCCTGCAGCAGGGACTGCTGTGCTCCGTGAGGCAGCAGAGGAAGCCCAGGCTGGTGAGATAACACTAATCAGCTAACAGCCCTGAATAGAGCAGGGAACTAAACATGGCAGCTGTCACTTATGATAGCATACAGTGTCCAATTTCATTCAATTGGGCTACTTTAATGCTCATCTCCTTTCCTATTTAAGCATAAGGTGATCCTTAATTAACTTTACCTAACATGTCACTCTCAATTGCGCTCACTGTAGGCGTTATCCAGTCTAGATATATTTGGGAAAGGAAATATAGGAACAAAAATATTTTGAATTATGCAGAAATGGGGCAACTAGGGACTTGTGCACCTTAAAAAGTTCAGTCACTGGGTATATGCCACTGGCATGGCTGGTTTTATTTTAGAATTGCATTGCGTGGGAGAAGATGACTGAGACCTCAGACTGTACAGACAAATGAATAATTGAGTTCATGAATTTTATTTACCCTCTCAATTTATTCTAAAATGGTCCTTAAGGAAGGCTCTGTATTTTATACTGGTCACATTATTGATACACATCCCTCTTCAAACAAAAAAACCTGAGAGACACACAATTGCTCCATTTTAGTCCCATTTTTCTCGATTGCTACACTCTCCATTAACTTGAGTAGGTTTTTTTAAGAGGTAATTGAGCAGTTGCACTCACCACACAACAAGGAAAACAGCATATCAAAGCCTGATCTTTTCTGAGTGGTATCACAGATGCTGCACCAGGTTCTGTCTTGTCCAAGAACATCACCTCACCCTTTCTAATTTGGCTCAATTCTTTGCCATACCTATCCCTGCCAGCAGCATTCTTTAGGTTTGTCGTTTTGTTGTTTGTTTGGTTTTTATTATTTTTATTATTATTGTTATTATTATTATTAATGATTATTTTGTTTCAGTTCTGTCTTCACATAGGATGCAAGATAAAATGATCTGCACAAAGCAGAGATCAACATGAAGTTTGGGCTCAAGAATGTTCATGTCTGTCAGAACCAAATTTGGGGGTATAGGTTTTTCCAGGTATTAAATCTTCCAGTAAACAGTTCAAGCTCCCTGACACCCACCCTCTTTTGGCTGTCCTGATTCTAAATAAAGTGACACTATAAAAGCTCTCCTTTTGCTAAAATTTGCTAAAATAAATTTAAAAAGAAAATTATGAAAAAAAAGTTGAAAGGACATCCTACTGAGAACATGGTACAACTTGGATCAGAGCTGACCTACATAAGAATCACAAAGCAAGTATGGAAAATAAATTATAAGGGGGAAAAAATTAAAAAACAAGGAATCAGGTCAATTCAGCAAGAGGAAGAGGAATAGGAAAAGGAAGATTTGAAAGTTTTAAGTAGGGTGAAGTCCTAAAGAATAGGGATTCCCATTTCAGCTGTGATGAGGAAAGGATCATAATGATGGAGGCAGTTCCCTGCTCCATATTGCCCAGCTCCAACCCCTTCCTCTTCCTTCATGGAGGAAGCAGCAGGGTTTAAAATTGGCAGCTGAAATTCAACTGGTTTGCTCCTCTTTCCTTTTTCAATGGAATCTCATCTCCACAGTGGTTTCCTGCCTGACCCATGCCCTGATATGGACACTTTGTCTGAAAATAATTTTTAAAAAATATATTTTGCTAGATAAATAAATACATGGTCTAGATAAGGGGATTGAGTTACCATTACCAAACTCATGGGCAGCACCAGGTCGGGTGGGAGTTTTTGATCTGCTGGAAAACCTGAAGGCTCTGCAGAAGGATTTGGGCAGATCTGGGTCCATGGGCTAAGACCAAAGCAGCGTTCAGCAGGGCAAAGTTCTGGGTTCTGCACTTTGACCCCAATAACCACATTCCAGGCTGGGACACAGGGGCTGGAAAGGGCCCTTTGGGAAAGGCCTGGGGCTGCTGGGGGCAGGGCATGGACAGGAGCCCAGGGTGCCCAGGTGGGCGAGAGGCCCCTGGGCTGTGTCAGCCAGGGTGTGACACAGCCCCAGGGCAGCGCTGTCCCCTGTGCTGGCACTGCTGGGACACCTGCAGTGCTGGGGACAGCTCTGGGCCCCTCAGGACAAGAGAGACACCGAGGGGCTGGAGCGTGTCCAGGGCAGGGAACGGAGCTGGGGAAGGGGCTGGAGCCCCAGGAGAGGCTGAGGGAGCTGGAAAGGGGCTCAGCCTGGAGAAAAGGAGGCTCAGGGGGGACCTTGTGGCTCTGCACAACTCCCTGACAGGAGGGGACAGCCGGGGGGGATTTGGGATCTTATCCCAGGGAACAGGGACAGGAGGAGGACACAGTCCTAAGCTGCACCAGGGGAGGTTCAGGTTGGACTTTAGGAGGGATTTCTTCCCAGAAAGGGTGGTCAGGCAGTGGAAGAGGCTGCCCAGGGCACTGATGAGCTCACCATCTCTGGAAGTGATCAAGGAATGACTGGATATGGCACTCAGTGACAAGATGGGGATCAGCCACGTCTTGGACATGATCAACTCACAGGTATTTTCCATCCCAAATGATTCTGAGATTCTGTGATTGTTTCTGTGAGCCATGACCAGAAGAACCTCAATGCTATGGAAACAAAGAGCAGTTCTGGAATCCCATTTCTGTCAAAAAAAGCCAACAAACTGAATTCTCCTGGAGGGCTTTTAGTTGACTACAGGTACATGAAAAAAGCAAGAAAAAAGTTAAAAGACATTTGCTAGTTCTCTTAGCTGCAGCTATTTTTTTTTTTTTTTTCAGTGAGATAGCTACTGTGGATTGCTAGTCCATTATCATCCTGTGGAAAAATAAGGTCTCATAATTAATGTCTGAAAAAATAGCAGGTGTCCAAGCCTGGATTTTTCCCCATTCCTTCTTTTTTTTCCCCTTTGTAGCATAAAGGTGAGTTAACAGGCTTATGTGTTCTGCTGAACTGGAGCTGGATCCAGCTGAACTTCAATTCATCCCAGCAGCAAACTGTTTATTAAAGACCTGTCAAATGCCCGTATTCTGTGGATCATCACAGGAGCTGACAGTGCGACAAAGGCTTGAAATCCAGTGCATATCACTGGAGGATGCCATTAAAATGAAAGTGAGACCAAAACCTCGCAGCTGTCAGTCATTATCTAGGACATTCTCACACAGTAGATCTCACACACTTCCCTTCATCTGGCATGGGTCTCCTCTTCACACTTCTCCATTTTTTTTGCTGTAATGAAACAGCTTTCGAACAAAAAAAAAGGATTTTTGAAAAAAAAAAAAAAAAAAAAATTCCATAAATCTCTATAAGAAGATGTGCATTTCTACTCCATTGCATTTCTACTCCATTTGGAGTTCTCCTGCATGTCCAGTTAACCACTGTATCTCTCTTTTTGGTCACCTGCTGCTTATTTTATAGGCTGTTATAATTTAGAACCTGAAACGAACATAAATAGGAATGACTGAATTTCAGCCATTAAAATACACCTTTCACAAGAAAAATTGTTCTCAGCCACTTGCCCTTATCTCAGACCAAGCCTGAGCATTGTCCCAGTTCAAGTGAGACTGGCTCATAATGTCCTCATTATTTTTGGGGTTTTCTTTTGTTTTGCCAGTTCTGGGTCTGCCTGGGGATTTATTGGCTGTGATAGCCAGATCAAGGCTATGTCAATGCTGTCAGTGACCAACTCTTAGCCAGGAGAAACGGCTGGTGTGAGCTCTATGGACCAAAAGTAGGAAATACCTGAAGTCCCATAAGCTTGTTCTGAAAGAGCTTGATATCCAGCCTGTCACACTGATTTTACAGCCATTTATCTCTATCAACATCAGAGACACTATGCCAGAGCAAAAAATAATGGAGTGTTGACTCAGCCTTTTACAATTTTAAAGTCATACTTGATTTACTTTAGTATACAGTATATTTTATTGCCTCTTGTCTTCACTCTTGAACCCGGGTCTCTTCATCACTAGACCAGGCTAAAGAAATATCCAAATACAAGACAAAACTACGGCATAATTACTCAACTGCACTCTCATCACATGTCCTGCATAATTATGAAATGGTTCCACTTTTTATGTCTATAATTATTACAAACTCATATCAAAAGGAAGGTCATCCATATTAGCACAGCTTTCAGATTTATTGCACTACTCTGGCACTACTTTGATGTAAAAGAGTTTGACAAATATATTTGGTATAAAAAAAATATTAAGGGTAATTATGTCATTTGCACATGGATTTTTATGATTAAAGAATTTTTAGAGGCTTAGTGCACAACTT